TATTGATTTCAAATGTCTCAGAGAGCTTGGGTGAATCGAGCTGCAAGAAATCTGCGTGAAGTGTGGGAAACATGAGAGGTGTTCTTAGAAATCAAATGGTGAAGTTTAATTTGCCCTATTGTGCTGGCATCTAAATATGTCGAGAACTGCAGCTGGTTAAATGGAGAGTCCAGCTTCACTTTGTGTACTATAAACACAATAGAATTTCACAATAGCTCTGTATAACCCCTTTGTGCACATATCCAAGAGCTAAGGGGGCTGACCTGCCCCCAAATGCCATTCAAAACAGCCGGCTATCAGAGAACACTGTGCTTTTCATAACACGTCAGCAGAAATCTTGTGAGGATGGTCTTAGCTGTTTACAGCCAGATTTGTACCCACCATTTCACACCAGGGTTAAAAAGGAAAAGCTCTCATTCTCTAACATCACCTTCTGACCTGAGTTGGAGGGGTGTGACATTATTTTTTTGTACAGTTCTTTCTCCTGGGAGCGCGAAACCTATTGCTGAGCCAGCCCTAAGTAGGCACGGTGCCATAGAAGCGGTGGAAGTTACACAAGGGTGTGAAACTGCTTATGGAGCCAGATCACACATCGGACCCAGTGCTGCCTGGTGGGCAGGAGGTGGAGCTTTCGGCCTTTTGTGTGGAAGATCTCCAATGAGACCCAGAGCTCCGGTTTTCCTAACAGCATCCCCTGCAGCGGGGCTGAGGCATGGGCGGAGTCTGATCGAACTAAAATAAACACCAACTCGTAGCACCTCGTGGGTGCGCGCAGCCTCCGATAGCTAGGACAGCCTATTCACCAAAATGTAAGTACATCCACTTTCTCCGCTCTTAAATGCAACTAACAGCTCCATAGAATGGCTTATTCTTGCTACGTTTACTCACTGCATCAGCGTAAGCTGTGGCGATGCCTGCTGTGCTTTCTGTCCTTTCAGCCTTTGTGTTAACAGCAACAGGAAACGACTTCTTGGGTTAGAGATATATTAATACAATAGAAAATCCAAAGCTAAGCTTTACTGCAGGTCTAAGAATGAATTCAACTCTATATTTGGAAGACTCGTTTTCCTCTCTCTTCCCCAAAAAGAGCTGTTTTATGTACATAATCCAAAAGTATTTCTTGCATGCAGTCATGATGGTTTTGGTTGCAAAGTTACAAAGTGCTGTGAGCAGCAGCTCTGAAAACGTGTCAGGACTGGCAATTACAGAATCAGACTAGCTAGTGCAGCTATGGAAATGGAGGAACATTTATTTCTCTGCTAGGGTACCAGCAGCACATGAATTGTTTCCTATCAAAGTGTGACAAAGAGAAATAAAGGGAAGTGCCAACCAAGTTTTTTCAGCTTTGTCTTTGAGATGGCAAAGGATAAAACATATCCACGTATTAAGTTTCAGTATAGATTGTTCACATTTGCTTCTAATAAAGCAAATGGATTCCTGCTTCCTTGTTATTTTTGATTTGTAAGTACTACGGACAGAAATCGTACTAGAGTGGAACAGTGCCTTGTGGTCTAAGTGCTGACTGGGCAGTTATGCTGTATGTTAAGGCTGGGACATGGAAAGGGACAGTGCCTGCTTTTAACTGCTGCCATCAGGTCCGTGTTACATCACTCTCGTACTCACTGCTGTACTACAACTCTACAGCAGCTGCTAGATAGCGCTTTTCAGCATGCGTGTCTGTATACTTTAAGGATTGTAAATGAAAGCACTGCCAGCAGTTTGGGGTGGGTTTTTAAAGCTTCTCACCCTTATAAATCCCAAATAGAAAATTCCTTTTAGCCACCTCACAAGCAAGATGTACAGGGGAATCAAAGCAAGGCGTACAGGGGTATCAATAGTATTCAACTCTAGTCTCTAGCAGCCTGTGGGCTGCAAGTGTAATATACACCATATTCATGGCTACCAGGCCACTGAAAGCAAACAGAAAGCAGTCTTGGTTTTACATACATAGTCGTGGCCTGATGTTCACAAACCACTGTGTTAAAGGCAGCGTAACTCAAGACTTTTAAAATATATTTGTCATGGATTGCACATGGTGCACCACTCATGTTAGATACCGCTATCAGTCAGTAACAAAACATGGACACTGTCTTTGTTGGTAATATGAGGTGGCACGCTTTCACCTTGTCACTCAGAGCAGTCAGGTGGGAGATGCTATTAATTACATTCATCCACCTTGAATGCTGTAAGTCTATGAGGAAAAAAAAAAGCAGTCACGGGGCAACAGCTTCTTGTGAGGGCAGCTGTAAGCAAAGAAATGCAAAATAACCTCAAAGCTTGTTCTAATGCCCAAATCACACAAAATTGAGTTGTGCTTTGAGAAGATGGCCCACTGTGACCTCATTATCAGCACTCATGGTGGCTTAATGACATGCTGCTTCTGCAACATGAAATGCATGCTAGGGATACTGTAACATATAAAGGCAGACTTTGTCTGGATATGGGTTATGTAGTGTCATCTATTGAGTAATGACAAAAATTATAAGCCAAGGCTCTTAACATTTCAAGCTAGAACTTCAAACCTCACAGTTTTTTGCTTCATATTGGAGCTGAAAGGTGTTACTTACCGGTTAGAAACCAAAGGATGAGGAAAACCTGTTGAAATTAAGCAGAAAAGCCTTACTGTTTTCTCACATCCCATCTATGCCGCATTGACTGGAGAGGCCAACAAACTGTGTCTCCTTTTCAGATCTGGCAAGATGATCAAATCCTTCAAGCAAACGTTTCTGTCCCTGGATCTGCAGTCCCCTAGGTGGAGCTCAATAGAGACCATGGTAAGTGCTAAAGGCCTGGGAGAAGATTCTCTACAGCCAAGGTGCTGCAGAGCTAAGGTGGATTTGGGATTCTTTGATGAGCAATGAAGAAACGTTGCTATGAACACTGCTCATGCCTAACAGCAAAGTGGGAAGAGGGACACTTGTAAATTCTAAGCAACTTGTTCTAAGGCAGAACAGTGTAGTTTTGTAATGAAGAAGACAAAGTTTGATTTCGGGGTGTGCCTGCGGCTATGAGGCTGCCTGGGGTTTTCTGATCACAGTGCTTTAATGCTGATTTGGGAAGAATAGCTACCCTTTTGTGTCATCTTCAGTATTCTGCTTGTGGTCACTGTAACTTCTGCTGCCTCTCAGGCAAAGGACTCCGAACTGCGCCAGTATGAGACAGCCAAGTGGGTCAGCACAGTCATTAAGGGAGAGACCCAGAAGGAAGCAATGCGCCAGGGCTTCTGGAAACTCTTCCACTACATCCAGGGGAAGAATGAGAAAGGTAGGACACACTGGTTTTGAACTCCCACTTTCAAATGCGAAACTTCAGCTCAAAGAACCACATCAGGATGGATTTGCATCCCAGGCAATGACTGTCAGTACAGAATTGCTCTGCAGATAGAAGCAGAATCATGCAGGGCAACATAAAAAACAGATTTTTTCAGCTGCAACACCGAGGCCACCTTAGCACCTGATTTTAGGCTAAGCCTGCAGCAGTCTTTACACTTGCATTCACCATTTTTGCTTGCAGCTTACTACGGATCTTTCATCCTTCTTTAGAAATCAAGATTGATATGACTGTGCCAGTGACATGTCTGGTAAAGTCTGGCTGTGCAGACTTCAAGATCTCCTTCTTCGTGCCATTTGAACATCAGGACTCCCCACCACAGCCCACTGACTCCGATGTGTTTGTCGAGGAGCGGAAGGCAGCCGCCATCTTTGTCAGGTAAGCAGCACGGGTGTAGCTGACAAACTAAGAGCTGCACTATTCTATCAACTTTGTAACTGTACAGTGAATATACCATGCTAACCAGGAGCCTGGAGTTCCGCTATAGCATGTGCCTGTACACTGACAGGTAGTTCTAAATACAAATTGTATGAGAATTGCTCAAATACTGATGCTCCCCATCCCAGCACTTCTGGGAAAAAAAAAAGCAGAGAACAGTTGCATTTTGGCCTGAACTCCCAACAGAATGAAAAAACCTTTCCTTTTTACTTCCACCAGGTCCTTCGGTGGATTTGCCTCACCAGATAAATACGCTGAAGAAGCTGAAGCCTTGGCTAAACTCTTAAGGAACAGAGGCCAACCATTCCATGAAGATTTCTTTTACACAGCAGGCTATGACAGTCCCTTCAAGCTCTTTAACAGGCACAATGAAGTGTGGTATTTTAGGAAATAATCCAGAGTCAGAGAATACTAGGAGGCTACTAATCAACTCTGAAGGGAAACAGACCCTATTAATGGCTTTTGCTTTACTGCAGAAGATACTTGTATGCAAACACAGGAACATCTCTAACTGATTTTATCTATGATGAAGTTACTCTGGCTAAAAACTCAAGTAGTTCACACCAGCTGGAGTGGGAGGGAGATGGAACTCAATCTTGTTCCTCTTAATCAAAAATTCTGGGAAGCATCAGAAAATATTCCTGTAAGAGTTATCTAGTTTTTCTTCTTGTTCAAAGTGCTGTACAATAGCTCAAATGTTAAGAGCAGCAAGTTTCCTTTTTCATCACAAAAAGATGGGGGAAGAACATTAGTTTTTCCAGAAAATAATGGCATTAATGAGTTTTGATAACCGATATGCCTTAACAGGCTCTAGTACCATACAAACATTTCTACCTTTAAAAGAGGACTGGATTATCCAAGTCTCCCACCTCTGCTACCATTTTTCTTCCTCACAGAGGATGGACAGTCATACCCCGTCCCAATGCCACTGACCAGACCAGACTTCATCCAGCAGAAAAGAGTTAATAGAATCCAAGCCCTGGGGTGGTTCTGTGAAAAATCTGTTCTGCTGTTTTTCTTTTCAACTTCACCCAAACCTAGGTATTGCTCAGGTCAACTCCACTCTGCCTTAACACTCATATTAGCTACACTCTACAGCAGAGAGCACTTGCAGGACTAGCATTTCTTTTAACTGGCTCCCTGCACTAAACCAAGTATTGTAGCTTTTATCAAACACACTAGAGCTACTTCATAGCAAGCAATCAAAACACAAAGCAGTTCACAACAACAGGTAGAGTTTATGAGATTTTATTGGCTCCAGTCAGTGTATGAGGCGATGTTAACATCACAAAGTCTTGTTTGAATGCCGCTCATGTAAGTGCAATCCATTATCCTGGGATCTTCCACCTATTAAGTAAGGCGTAAGAACTGTTACAAGGCACCAAACCAGTACAACAAGCTTACTGGAACAACTCAGACCTTAGGTTTTCATCTCTGTTCAGTGAGAGAGTTCAAGCTAAGGTTTTAATCATCATCATCTGTTCCAGCAACTAAGTTTTATTAATAGCTACACTCACCTGTTTGCTCATACAGTTCCAAAGTTGCATCCTCACCTAAAGCAGGAAAACACACTTAGCATGCAGTGACACACCTGCCAAGAGATCCTCTCAGCAGCTGTGTAACCTCAGAAAGAATGGAACGGAAATGGTAATATCACAGAAATTCATCTGGCAGAATCAAGTTTCATCAGTGGTTACCAACACTCCCAGAAGAGAGAATTAATCTGTGTTATCTTACGCAGTGAGGTGGCAGAGCAGTCCTTTCCTGAGGAAGAGAGAAATTGTTTCAGAGTAAGATATCACTATATGTGTGTTTATAAAATATCAAACTAATTTTAACCTATACAAAGGCTGGATTTCAGCTGTCAACTGGCAACTTCAATTTGTAACACCTAATGTAATATTAAAAATCTTATAATCCTAAATGAACTGGAAATACAGAATCACTAACACCAGAGGAATCAGAAAAAGTTGGCTACACTTGCTTAATGGTACTTTAACTGAGAGTCATTTTGTTGGAATGAGCTGATACCTACAATATAAGCCCCATAAAACCACTGGAACAAAGTGCTACAGCAACCAACTCAATCCTAAATTTGTGTACCTCCAACATAAGCAAGATTACTATTATTCTACTATGAAGTTTTTGCCAGCTAAAGAGTATTTTTATTCCATTTCAAGTGTGCAGCAGTATTAGTGTCAGTTCACAGAACAGCCAGGTTCAGGTAGGTAGGTGTTGAGCCAGGAGTTGTATGCCTGCTGCTGTGCATTCTGCTGTATTAAACTGTCAACATATTGGCTTAAGTAGTCCCCACTGATTCAGCTTTTATGATTTTTACTGTGTGAAGACACCAAGCAATAAAAAATGTTTTTTGAGCCACTGTGGCCAAGCCTTTTCTTCATAGAAACAGAAGACATGAAGTTTACCAGTGACTACAGTTTAAGAATTATCAGGCTACCAGATTTGCTGGGAAAGTTCCTAACTCAAATTGAGAACTGCAGCTCACTGTTGCTCCATGCACACAATTTTATTCTCCCATCAGCAGGGATTGCAAGACTCGCAACAAAATACACACAAATCGACTTTCATGCACCACCACCCTTACGACAACATCCCAGAGATTAGTGGACCTCATAACCTCCAAAATATACTCTAGTTTAAACTTACCTCAAAGTTGGTGTTATTTCTCACATGCTCCCCTTCAGCTTCACTCTGTAACAATGATTTTTTTTTATTAACACTCTGCTTGGCAGTGTTTCAAGAAAGACTGAAATCTGTGTACTGTTTCAGATCAAAGGTCCTCCTCAGTCTCTTTCGGAGAGATTCCCATTGCTTAGAACTAATCATCATGAACAGTACACGCTTAGAGAAGCTTGAAGTTGTTACTGTTGTTTTCCCTTAGTGGACACTCAGTATTTCACACTTTGCCTCATTCACATGAAGTAAAAACTCATTTTGCCACAGAGACAGTAACTTATTACATTATTCAGTAATAATCCTTGCAAAAACCCACTGCATGAGTTACCCAACAAACAGTTGAACAGTAACTGTACTGTTTTCTATCAGCAGCAGTCACTGATGCAAGCTCTGCACTGCTAGGCTTAGGCGTTCTTTCCAACAGAAGCACTTACATATTTCAACTGGTCAACACATCTCATTAAAATATTTCATGGCAACTGAGAAGCAAAGAGCTTACCAACCAAGTATCTGGCACAAAATCTTGGGCAGTTCTTCCGTTCTCACATCTAAGATAAACACAAGGATGTAAGTTCTTAGTACAATGCTAGTGCTGCATTACAACCACAAGACATCCAGAAACTTCTTTTTCCTTCTGGAAAAATTATCACCACCTGTCTTTGGTGATTCCACACATGAATTGAAGCTACTGGTGCTCACAAATGCAATCAGCAGACGAACATCTGCCATTTATCTGGCAGCACAGAAGCATTCACATTCCACCAACTCCATCCCAGAAAAAAGCAGCAGCTACCTCCAAAGCATTCTTCTCTAGGAAAGATCCTAAATTAATGTTCAAAAATAGGTAGCACTTTTCCTATACTCCCCCCCCCCCCCCCCCCCAGAGAGCAACTTCTGTAAAAGCCTCAAAGAAAAGTAGCTCCCCTTTATATTCATTGCTACACAGAATTCCCTCCCATTGCAAGTTATTAATGATCTATTACCAGCACACCTAGGGCTACTGCCAGACACAGGGTTTTTCAGTGAAGAGAAGTCTACATTAGTAGTTTCAGGTCAGACATTTGACAACATCATTATAACCCTGTAAGACATGCCTAGCCTGTCTGTGCAATTACATTCTTTACAGAGCACTGAAATAATTGGAGCCTCAAATACGAAATTCAATTCCCAGTACCTTGGTAGGTGAAGCCTGCTGGCTGCTATAAAATTATCTACTGCAGGAGGTTAAGAATAATCCTGCAGCTACAAGATGGCAGCACAATTAGAGGCTAACATCTAGCATCTTCCCCATCACACGCACACAGTCATGACCAGTAATAGAAATTCACTGGCTACTCACTTCTGCCTGCAGCACAACCAACTGCACCACTTCACAGTTCCACAACAGTACTAGAAGAAAAAGTAGTCAGGAGAGCACAAAAACAAACACAGAAGAATGAAATCTAGTCAGATGCCTGAAGTCAGATAGAGCTAATTGCAGACCTCCATGATTGAAGTCAGGGTATTTATGTCTCATCACACAGGCAGCCTACACATCCAGTCACTGGACAGCTATCTGCTCTGGGCTATGGCTGCTTTGGGAACAGGATGGACCCAGATGTGCTGTGCTATCAACAATTTCACAAGCACACATGCAGATTAACAAAGCCAGCCCATGTAGGATGGGCCTTTATCCAGCTCTTCTTTTACACATCCCTCTGCACTGGCTGAAATGCAATTAGCAGCCAATGCTGCCCTCTTTCCCCGCCCTCAGTTGAGTATTTCATTTCACAGGCACATTCTACACTTGTTATGCTAACACTCAAAGTTAAAAACAAGTACTTACGTCTTGATGAGAAGCACTTTCAAAGCCTGCAAAGGAAAAGCTGCCATTAGATGTGATCCGACAAAAATCTTTAGCTCAAGAACAACCACCTCAGTCAAATACTGTATCAGTGTTTAGTCAAGTTTTATCCTCACTGGGATCAGAGACCTGATTCAACATCATTTACAGCAGACTGCAACATTCCCATCCTTCACAGGGGAGCCCAAATCTACCCCCCAGCTCTCCTCAGCATCTTTGGGATCTTACTCCTCAATTGCTAGAATTGCAAAAAGCAGAGAAAAAAACCTGCAGTAACCTCAACTCCATGCAAACATTCAAGTTGGCCTAAACCAGAAAAAGCATTTCAGATACTAAATTAGCACTGCTGCATTTACTGCTCAAGGCATTTAGTCTCAGCAGGAACATTCTAGAATCTTAACACTTCACAAAGTTTCTACTTTACTGGGAAGTATACAGGATCGTAAGACATATTTAGGGCACGTGTCTTTGCTGCAAATTTTCCAGAAGCAATATGGTTCTGCATTTTCCAAATGCAAGCCTAAATGTAGCACTGTAACTGACCTAGTCCACAAAAGCAGCACAGTCAAACACAGCCTTCTAAAATATGTTTAATTACCTTCAGTTATAACAGCAGCATGTTCACCAACATCAGAAAAGGTAAATCAGCTCTGCTGGGCACAGGCACTCTTCCATCTCCAGGCTGGGCAGACTGTAAAGCAACAACATGGTGAATACAGTGTTTCACCCAAGCTTCCCATGTGAGCTGTCTGCCAGAATTACCCCAGGCACAAGAGGCTGCATCAGATAGGAGCGAAAGACCAGTAGAGTGATCATCACAAGTCATCTGCTGAACTATGTTGTCATCACACACAGCCTTCTGACGGGTCAGGAACAGAAAGCTAGTTTGTGCAACTGCAGTTAATGCAATATTTACCTTGCACATTCATCTCGTGGCTTTTCCCAGTGCCTGCAACAAAAGAAAATCAGATTCCCTCCGCCTTCTTAGTCAAGTCTAGACTCCCTAGCAAGGAGCCACATACAACAGCAAGATACATCAGATAGGAGCGAAAGACAGAACATGGCTCATCATGAGACAATCTGCTGAACTATGTTGTCATCACTGTATCTGCTTTGGAGTAATAGTATCAAGCAGTCATCTAGCAAGGACTTTGAAAAGCTCAAATTCTCAAAATGAAACATGTAAAATCTCTGTACTTTGAAATAGTACTTTTCTAGTATATTTGTATATAAATATAGTAATTATATAAATTTTATTTATATATTATTTATATATTTATATAAATTATATAAATATAGTAAGTATATAAAATAGTAATTTGAAATTAGTGCTTGAAATACTAACAAGTACCCATTTCTGTGCATCAGGGGCAATGAATCCCAAAGCACTGCCATCCCATTTTATGCATCCCACCCTTTTCACTGCAGTGACTCAGCAGCTACACAGAACAAACCCAAACACAGACTGCACAAAGCTTCTTACCAGGTGATGTTTCTTCCATGAGTGCATTATTCAAATCCTGGAAGAAAAAAAGCTTATGAAAGTAAATTCAAGGCCAAAATATTTTAATCAAGGTGAATTTTAAGCTGCTGTGCCTCAGATAGAAATTATGGTGGTTTGAGCTCTCATCATTTCCTTGGTCAAGAGTAGCAAACTATACAGTCATCATTGTGGCACCAGAGGATTAACTTAGGGAATAAAGTCTGCCTACTGAGGTCATTACAATAAAAATAAGACCTAAACAGTGAGCCCTTAAATGTTTGATTTTTTTTTCCCCAATAAGTTTTACCTTGTGAAGTAGCATCAAGTCTTCATATTCAGCAGCAGGCCTGAAAGTCAGACAGGACATCATCAAACGCCTGCAGAACTAGGGAGCATCTCCAGCTGTCACTGCAGTGACAGTAAGCATGGAAAAAGCCTCAGCACAGAGTTTTCAGAAATCACTTCTGTCCACTACTCTAATACTGAAAACATCACAGGCTCTCCAGTTTAGTGATAAATCCTGATCATTACAGGTCCTTTTTAGAAACATGCATCGAGCATGTTTTCCCCAATCTGTTGGTGTGGATGGTGAAATATCAGTAATGAACAGACACACATCTAGTGTACTCTTGGTCTGGTTAGAAGCTGAACTAATTTTCTAGAACCAGGAGCCTGAAATTCAATTTCCAGCAAAGGAACATGTGGCTTTTCCCAGCAGTAGAATGAAAATTGCTTAAGAGACATCAGAATTGCTTTACACAGGTCCTGCAATTTCTTCCTGAGATAGAAGAGAAATCCAGGCTAGTTGCTCTAAGTGCACCCACACAGTACATATTATTTTTTAATTTAAGCTCTATATTCCAAAAAACAGCACTCACCTATTTTGAAGCCGCAGGAGAGAGAAGAGTGTAACCGGTTCATCCTACACTGAGAACAAAAGAGCATGCGTCAGCTTTTCTATTAAGTCTGAGGATATTATCGTCACACATTCCCTTAAAAAAAAGGAGGAAGGGCAACTCAAAGCAACACCCTGAGTCTCGCTGCAAAGCTTCCCCTTACTGAAAGGACACCAACTTGGAGACAAACCCACCCACATAACTACTTGCCCGTATTGCTTACCAGGAACAGGTCAGAATCACTGAACTGTTCCAACTGACTGCAGCCAGCGGGTGGATCCAGCAGCACCAGGAGCACTGAACACGTGGTGCCTCAGCCACTCCATCTGCCTGCCTGCCTCCCTCCCCGGTTCCACGTCCAGCTCAGATATGTTGGTACTCATCAGCCTCTCAGATGTCCCTACCAACATAGTTTTCATCATGTGCGGGCACATGGAATGCCAAGGGAGCTCTGATACTCTTCCAACAGCACAGGAGGTTCGAGGCCTTCTAGAGCTCAGCCTACAACCCGAATAAAGGAGCAGGGGTACCTCCTCACTTACAATACACATTTGAAAGCCTCCCCAGAAAGGGTTCTCCCTCCCCAACGTCACTAGAACCACTCGTTCACATCCGAGCAGGCAACAGTGAGCCCTACCACCTCCCGGAAATCTTTAAGTAGAGCTGCAGAGCGCAACCAGCCGGTGCTCGTGTCTGCACCGTCTATTTTCCCCGTGCGCTTCGCTCTGAGCTTTTCCGAGCTGCTCTCGCCGCACAAAGCAAAGCGGCGGCAGCGAAGGGCGCTCCCACGCAGCCGCTCCCGCCTTCACAGTGAGCCGAGGCCTAACGGGCGCGCCGGGCCCCGCCGCCACAATCCGTCTCCATCTTCCTCCTCCAGCTTCCATCGCGAACCAACAACGACCCGCAGAGCCTCCACACCCCCCACCGAACGCGCCGGAGCGGGGCTGAGCGGAATAACCCCACACGCCCGCCGCCGGCAACACACAGAGCTACGTAACCATACCTGTTCCCGTGCCACGAGCGGAAAGGCAGGACGCGTGCTTGCGCGCCCCTTATATAGCCCCACTGCAGTCACGTGACCACGGAGCGGCCCCTCCCTCCGGGCTGGGGCGGGATGGCGATGCGCGGCAGAGAGGGCGGGAATTTTCTTCCGGGGTGGGGGGGCGGTTTCGCTTCCGGGCCGGCGCTCGGGGCCGTGCCCACCCCCGGGAGGTCGGTGCCGGCGGCGGGGCGGGGCGCGGCGGGGCGGGGCGGGGGGAGCGGGGCCGCCCGTGACAGCGCGGCCGCGCCGTACCCCCGGCAGCCCCGGCGGGGCCTCCGCTGTGCCGCCCGCCGTGTCGGTAAGGAGGCGGGGGAGGCGGGCGGACTGTGGGAGGTGTCGGGTTGTCCGAGGGGCTGTCGCGGGCTGGGGCGGGCAGCGGCACCGGCCGTCCGGGGGGAGAGCGGGGCCGGGGGCTGCAGCTCCTCGCGGGGAGCGGGGGGACGGCGCTGAGCTCCGCTCTCTGGGGGCGGCGGCGGGGCTCGGGGGGCGGCACGGAGCCGTGTCAGGGGAAGGGCGGGGGGGGAAGGGTCTGCGCTGTGGGCACGGCGGGCGTGGAAGTGGCCGAGCCGTAGGGAAGGGCTTGGGGTGCCGTGTGGGGACGGGCTGGGCTGAGGGGTCCCTGTGCCGAGGGAGCGATGCGCTGCTGCTCGCCTTCGGGTTCGTGTCGCCGGGCTTCTGCTCTCCGTAGCTGTGAGGGCTAAAAATTAACCGTAATTGCCTCATTCGTGGAGAGAAGGCCTTGAGTCATCGCTCGTTAGCGATTTGGTGAGGAAGAAACGAGCTTTGTGCAGCTCGCTGGTGGCTGAGGAAGGCAGCATCCCGGGAGGCGGCCGTGGAGGGGCTGGAGGAGCACGGAGATGTGGCACTGAGGGACGTGGGGTGGGCTGCGGTTGGACTTGGTGAGCTGAGAGGTCTTTCCTGGCCTTCATGATCCTGTGATCTCTCCTCACAGTTCACAGTGGGTTTTGAAAGGTTTTTATTCAAGTCTCATCTTAATTTGGAAGCCGTCGGCTTGGCCAGTGACAGCACATCTCCTCAGTCCCAAGGCGCAGCGCTTCTCAAATCAACTGCTGCCGCTGTGCGCAGCGCCCAGATTTTCTGACAAGGGAGATGTTGGTCTCCCAAGTTTGACATTTTCCATCCAGCGCCCAAACGTGACTGTTTCTGCCCACAGATACACCCAGCCTGACCTCCACCCAAAACCCTGAGTGCTGGCGGGGGGTTCCTGCTGCACTCCGTGGTGGCTGTCAGCCACCTCACAGTGGGGAAGAGGCATTTTCTGAGATAAGCCCAAATTGCAGCTGCTGATGCTTTAAATTGTATTAAAAATAGACAAGCGTCTTCAGCATGCTCTCTGCGAAGAGCAGCGCTCAGCAGGAGATCCCACTTATCCTCCAGGTGAGGAGTGTACAGTGCGGTGCCAGGAAACACAAAGGCTGAGGCTGCCGTGTAAGCTCGTTATCCTCTGCCTCCGTGGTCAGCGTCCAGTCTTCTGAGCAGAGAGATTACGCCTCGCCAGCATCTAATTGAGGCTGCCCCCAAAACGTGTCACAAATTGCTGCTCCCTGGGTACGGAGGCAGCGACGTGTCCCTGCTGTTGGAGCAAGCGCACAAGCGGAGTTTGGGGCTCCCCGGGGAGCAGCTGACTTCTAACCTCGGCTGCACACAGCCCCCATCGGCAGGCAGCGTCTGACTTTTCCTTTTATTTTTCTTTCTGCGCTTTCCAAGCTGATTTCCTGAGAACTCATGGGATTCCCCTGTGTGCTGGGCCTGCCCACGGCCCTGCAGGCCTGACTGGGCCCAGGCGTCCCAGCCCTGCACTCCCTGTGTAATGTGTGCCGGCCACGCTCCTGCAAGAGTCTGTTTGCCTTGATTAAGAGAATGCTTTGGATTTCATCGCTTTAGAAACCGGCGGCTGGGAAGATTATGCGATTACAGGGCCCCGGTCCTGTAAACATTTGCACATACTTGACGTGATTTCAGCTGTGTGTTTCTAATGGTATAAGTGAAACGGCTGATGTGAGTAAGGCCCTGCGCATTTAAATGCCTGCAGGGTTGGGGCTGGAGATATCGGCCACGTAGGAGAGGAAATGACTTGACTTGGATTATCTGCACTTCCATTTTCCTATTTTAATGACCGTCCATGCAACACAAACACGGAGCAGGCGGTGGGGAAAGATCAGTGTGATAAGACTCAGTATTTCCTTGGCTCTGCGGTTTGGGGTGGGACGTCATGTATTGGTTAGCTAATACTGCAGCTGTATCCTCCAACACAACACGATGACAAAACCTGACATCCTCGATTCTGTTAGGGACAGCCCTATTCTTCTATGCAACATTTGTTCTTTTTCCTTCCAAAGGCAAAGGGGGCAAAAAGTTTTGAGACGTTACAACCTCAGAAGAAAAAAGGAGAACAGCAGCACGCCAGCCCCATTTCCTCCCCGGTGCATGTTACCATTAGCGTTACAGGTAAGACAGCGGATTTGCTGCTTCACCACATTTTGTGTGTTTGAAGTTCTGCTCTTAACTCTGTGTTGAGGTGGACCTGTGCGCTACAGTTACTTCTTCATTTCGTGTGGGTTCTGTTGCTTTCCTCCAAACGTAGCAAAGGGGAGAAGAAGCCTTCAGATGTGGCATTGTTAAGCTGCGCCTTGGGAAGCTTTATGCAACTCTGATCTCATCTGCCTTGTAGATACGCAGCCGTCCTGCCGTGTAGCAATCCCTTTGCACAACCCCAGAAGATTGACAGGCTGCTCTGCAGCTTCAGGTTTAGTAACATATTTTGCCAAGTTTGCACAAAGTCTGTTTTGGCATATGAACATGCACTATCCTGCATGAAAGAAAAAAGCCCGTTGAAGCTCTAGAGCCCTGTCCTTCAAAGGCACATATGCTTAAGTTTAAGCGTGTGTTAGTGCCTTTGATTGGGAGATTTCTCAGAGTAGGCACTATCAGCCTCGATATTCCTGGACTGCCTGAAATTGTTTTGATATCTGTAGCACTCTGCCTAATTGACGCGCGGATGCCATCCGGCTTGGAAGCTGCTCGTGCCAAAAGTGGTCTTTAATGAAGATATTTATTTTCCTTTTTTTCTTTCTTTCTTTCTTTTTTTTTTTTTTTGTGAGTTTACATCTAATTTTGGACCATTCCGAATTTTTACCATATATGGTCAAGGCTCCTTTTCAAACTTTGCCAAAATGAAATGTGATGATTTATAAAAAAAAAACAAACACAAAACAAAACCAAAAACCTAAGAGAGCTAGTTTGCTAATCCCCATTGTTCAGGAGTCATATTTTGCTGTATGCAATATCTAACGACACAAATGTTAGCTTCTTTTTTTCACAGAGTCATTTGTGCTTGGTGGATGGTCTGATCGGCTGATGTTCAGAGTTGGATGCTGTTCTTTTTCTCCCCTGGCCTGTTGTGTGTTTTTTGCCCTCTGTTGGAAGCGCTACAGATGACAGATATTTTGGGTTTAATGACACGATTAAGATGCCTTCAGTTCAAATACGTGCTGGTCAGCTTTTGAAAAGTCTCTGTGGAGAGAGGTTCTCTCTCCTTCCTGCTCCTGTCCTGTAAAGGACAATTATTGTAACAACACTGCTCTCCCCTATCAACGTGCTATGAAGGTAGAAGTGCTAAGTATTTTAATCCATTATGCAATCATTACCTATTTTTAGAACCTGAACCATTTTTTTATGTTCTTTTTACAATGCAAATGTGCTTTTATTGAGGCTCACAGAACGAACTGTTTAGAGCACTTGAGCCGCAGGGAACAGGAATGAGGATCTGTCAGGGTCTGTTTTAACATAACGTTTGTAAAAGGTGGTGTGCAGAACATAAAGATCAGAGAACTGCTGCGAGCCACTTGTAAATTAAATGCTGGAAAAGCTCTCTAAAACCTGCAATATTTCAAGCAGAATGAAAGGAGATGAAAGACATTCTAAATGCAAATGGTAGCCCAGCTCTGTTAACGATGGCATTTTTCTTTCTTTGCCAGTAGGGCCGTACACCTGCAACTCAGACAGCCATGGAGAAGAGCGGGAACATTCAGCTGGAAATTCCTGACTTCAGTAACTCTGTCCTGAGCCACCTGAATCAGCTGCGCATGCAGGGTCGCCTGTGTGACATCGTGGTCAACGTGCAGGGGCAAGCTTTCCGCGCTCACAAGGTGGTGCTGGCTGCCAGCTCGCCCTACTTCCGTGACCACATGTCCTTGAACGAAATGAGCACGGTTTCCATTTCTGTCATCAAGAACCCGTCTGTTTTTGAGCAGCTCCTTTCTTTTTGCTACACCGGTCGGATATGTCTGCAGCTGGCTGACATCATAAGTTACCTAACGGCCGCCAGTTTCTTGCAGATGCAGCACATCATAGACAAATGCACGCAGATTCTCGAGGGAATTCATTTCAAAATCAACGTGGCAGAGGTGGAAGCAGAATTGAGCCAGACCAGGACGAAACATCAGGAGAGACCCCCGGAGTCCCACCGGGTGACGCCAAATGTGAACCGTTCCCTGAGCCCCCGTCACAACACCCTGAAAGGGAGCCGCCTGGGCCAGGTTAGCACAGTGCTGGACATTCGGGAGCTCAGCCCACCGGCAGAGTCCACCAGCCCTCAGATAATCGAGCAGAGCTCGGACGTGGAAAGCAGGGAACCCATCCTGCGGATTAACAGAGCGGGACAGTGGTATGTTGAGACAGGAGTGGGAGAGCGCGAGGGACGGAACGACGATGACGTCCGGGTGCTGGGAGGAGTGCGCATTAAAACAGAGAACCTGGAGGAGTGGCTGGGGACAGAGAATCAGCCGTCAGGAGAAGATGGCAGCAGTGCTGAGGAGGTCACTGCTATGGTCATCGACACCACGGGCCATGGATCAATAAGCCAAGAGACTTACACGTTAGGGTCCTCCGGGGCCAAAGTGGTGAGGCCGACCAGCAGTGAGATTGACAGGTGAGTTTTCTTGAGCTTATTTACTGACCCTGGCTGTATGAAGAGATTGAGCAAGATTTTCACTTGTCTGGATTGTTCCATTTTGAATATCTGCCCCTAATATTTCACGTGGCCATCTTAAGCAAAAGAGCTGATGGAATTTTTCTATCGTGTTAGAGAGTGTATGGTTTTGGTTATGATGTTTTGGCAGGATCGTGATCAGACCAGGTTCTCCATGTGCAAGCTGACTTGGGAACTCAAGTTTTAGCACTTGCAGACGTATAGATGGGAATCTCTGTGTCTCAGTGTTCCAACTGTGGTGGGATTTCTGTCTAAAAGAGACGTTGCAGTTCAACCTCAGCACATGGAATCGATGAGATTGTATGCAATATGTTACACAAAGTGCCACTGTAACAATGCCTTCTGGCCTGGGAACTGGTGGGTTGCTCTGCTTTAGGGACTAGCTGGTCACCAGCTACGGGTCTAGAGGAAATTTTCTTCCTGGTGGCCCAACATAGCAGCGGATCTTGGGTTTATCTCTTCTGAAGCTACCAAAGTGGGGACCCTTTTGGCCTCCACTGTTGTTTTGATTATGTGAAAGAGCAAAAAGCGTTTATTGGTAATAGATAGTGAAATACCCTGTGTTTTGTTTCTCCATCCATCTACTTCCCCTGAGCTCCAGCATTTGTTTTCTTGCCCTTAGCTCAGACCAAACAGCGGAGCTAATAAAGGGTGGATTGTTTGTATCTGTGAGGTTATGGATTTGTGGGAGGTTTCCCTTCACATCTGCTTCTGTTCTCTTCCATCTCAATCCCTCTGGTCCCACGGGGCAACAGCTACCCAGAAGCAGGGGATTTTCCATCACTTTAATAAATCAGTCTGTGGGAGTGGTCTTGAGCTGGCCTGTGGGACAGGAAGCCTTTCCTAACTTCTCACCTCTTTTCCATGGGTCATCTAGCCCTGAGCATCTCTTTTTGCATTGCATTCCATATCTGCTGTTTCCTACCTGGAACCCACTTCATCACTGCTGTGATGTGTCTCAGTGTCACTCTTGTGAGGGGAGGAGGATGAGGGTGGCACGTGAGGGACGCCCTTGGAGAAATGGTTTCCTCTCCCATAGAGTTCCTGAGTTCCCCAGGCCCATATCAATTTATTTGCTTGCAGTAGCGACCAAAAAGCTCACTGTTACTGAACTGGAAGCCAAATGACTCAGTTTTATTTTTCAGATGTTAAGACTGAAACTGCAGACCACTATGACTTGGTTTTTCCTTTATACTTGTGCTGTTCCGCATTCCGCCTCCTGTGTGTTAGCTGGTGAGGATGAAGAGATGTTACACAGGTGCCTCTAATTGCTCACCCATTGTTCTACACACCACAGTGACCTGATGCCCATTAAAAACTCCACTTACGCTCTTCCCCCACCCCACAGATTTAGCCCTTCTGGCAGCATGGTTGCTGTGACTGAGCGGTACAGATCAAAAAGCGAGTCTCCCGGGCGGATGGATGAGCCCAAGCAGCCCAGTTCCCAGGTAGGCAGCTCTAGAGGTTTGCAAGTAAACGTTGTCATTGAAGGCTAAGGGGACTATGTCGTGGTGTAATATCTAATGCTCTGCATTTACAAGCAATGCTGCTTGAGAAACAAGAACCATTTGCTGTGGCAAGGGGTTCAGTTGTGTGCACTCAGATCGCATGCCATCAGTATATGATTTAAAACCGATTGTCTGTTGTTTGGGATTTCATCCAGATAGCTGGAAGACATGAGGAGTTTCTCTTGTTGTCTGAGGGCATAAATGCCAACCCTCATTCTGGGCAGGCCACCAGCTCCTGCGGAGAAACTTTGTTCACCTGCAGAGCTGTATCTGCTAAAGTGCTGACAGCAAATGCCTGAGCTGAAGGAGGAGGTATTAGCTGGCTTCTGTAGAAGGGCTGAGGGGTGACAACATCTGAGCTTTTTCCTACTAGTATCAAAACCATCCCCAAAAGCCCTCCCAGTGCTACACCAGTAAAGCTTTTGGGTGGAGCGTCAGGTGGCTGTAGGTTTACCCTGTGGGTTTGTACTGTTTTGTCCTTTGTCTAGTTTCTTTCTTGCATACAGTCAGCGTTGCAGTGACACTGTAGTGCAAGTGCATCACCCAGCACTGCATAGTATGACTCTCGTGTTCCTGACACATGAGCAATGTGTCAGTTCGTAATCAAGTGACTTTGCTGGAAGCAGGTGAGAAGTTAGCAGGCTGCTCTGACCTTGAGTGAGAGCGAGTGAAGAGAGGAATGAAAAATCACAGTTTCTATCTGCTAACTTCCTAATACCCTTCAAAAAACCAGATGATACCTTTTTGTTCCTATTTTGCTGAAGGTTTGTTTTGTGTCCTCAGAATTCGTCTACAAAATTTCAGGTCAAACTAACCCTCCAGGGCAAACGCAACATAAAAAGCAATTTTAGCTCCTAGTGTGGAAAAGCTGCCGTTATTTCTTTGTAGTGAGATGGCCTCAAACTTAGAACCATAGGCTTCAGCATATGCAGGGCAGTATTATCACCTTTCACTCTTCTGGTGTTCCTGTACTGGTGTTATAAATAGTTTGCCTTTAATCCCTGCCTGGTGGCAGAGTGCAAGCAAAGTACCATAGCATGATGCATCTCCTTTAATTCCCTGCAGCTTGCCACTGCTTGAACAGCCTATTTCAGGGGCACCTGATGTGGTTATGCTGCTGCTTGCACGTGCCCAGCCCCAGCAGCCAGAGAAGAGCTTCTCCTGTGCTTACGCTGCTTGCTTGTCTGTGTTTGGCATCGTCAGGAAATGCCACAGGCATGGGATGCAAACGCTGCATCCTGCAACACGGAGGCAATCGGGGCCATCTGCCTGCGTTCATTTTGGATGTGATAGCTCTGGAAAGTTCCAGAAAGCAGTGCCCATGGCTGCCCTAGAGCAGTGCAGCCCTCAGCTGTTTGTCTTTCTGGCAGCCTGCTGCCCTGGCTGTGTGTCTTGGACCACGCATCTCAGCTCTCTGTGCTGTGGCTTCCCCTGCCATGACACAGGGGTAGATGGATTGGATAAGAATTTAGGCAAACATCATTCATGATAAAACGAAGCCTGAATGACACCTGAATAAATAACACCTGTGAAATGACACCTGAAGAGTTTCAGATGTGATTTGGAGTTTACTCCACCTTGGTTTTACTGTAAGCTCATCAGCTGGCTTTTTTTTTTTTTTTTTTTTTAAACACTGAATAAGTAAAATAGGGCACAGTGAAACTGACCCAAATTTAAGGGGAAAAAAAAAGAATAAAAAAAAAGAATACCATGAATTGACCTATTTGATCCACAACTCCATCAGTGGCTGAGTACCCTTCTGACAAAGGCAGTATTTTCTTCCCCAGACCTAGTGAGTGGCTTGGCAGAAGGGGCCATGGAGCAGAGGTTTCTAATTGATTGCTCATTTGTTTCCAGCCCCAAGGCTCCTGTTAAGCACTTAAATGTGTGCTTGAGGTTGAAGACATTAGTGCTGTTGATTTCTAGGCTTGGCACATGCTTCGATGTTTGACTGGACTGGGGCTTAGAGGAACAAGCAGCAGATCTTCTTCCCTTCTTTTCTATCAAGCCACCTATTTGTATAATCAATGTATATACAGATGTCATAATTATGAAATAAACAAGAGAGTTTAGCTAAGCAAGTTATTATACCAAAAGAGAATAGATAGAATGCTTACCCATATCCTGGGCTCAATGTAAAACTCCAAAGGAGGGATTTCAAGAAAGAGATCCTTCCCCACTGGCAGTCAGCTCTTAAATGGGTCTAGGAGATGTGCAGCCTGGCTCCATCCCTTCCAACAGCGCAGGTGAATTGCTCCCATGGCTGACTCATTGCTGGCCTCAGGTGATCAATCAGAGGTTCAGGCCGTGATTCAGCAGTCCCCATACACTGTTTTTCTAAATCTGTGTTGTTTCCTGGGCAGGGGGAGGAATCTGCCATGATCGGAGTGAGCGGTTACGTGGAATACCTGCGGGAGCAGGAAGTGTCAGAGCGCTGGTTCCGGTACAACCCACGGCTCACCTGCATTTACTGTGCCAAATCCTTCAACCAGAAGGGCAGCCTGGACCGGCACATGCGCCTGCACATGGGCATCACGCCTTTCGTCTGCCGCATGTGTGGGAAGAAGTACACCCGCAAGGATCAGCTGGAGTATCACATCCGCAAGCACACGGGCAACAAGCCCTTTCATTGCCACGTCTGTGGCAAGAGCTTCCCTTTCCAGGCCATCCTCAACCAGCACTTTCGCAAGAACCACCCGGGCTGTGTGCCTCTGGAGGGGCCTCACAGCATTTCCCCCGAGACCACGGTCACGTCCCGGGGGCAGGCGGAGGAGGAGTCCCCCCCGCAGGAGGAAGCTGTCGCTGTGGGGGAGACGGCACAGGGATCTGTGTCCACTACTGGGCCGGATTGAAGCGCGGCTGTGGAGTCTGGGGAGAAAGGACCGTCTTCCCACTCGGGCTCTGGAGGCAGCACCAACCTCACAGGCTGGTACTGTAATTAGTGCAATGCCACCACCGGACAGAAAGAAGCTCCCAAGATGTTGCCAAAACAGAAAAATCTCCCTCTCTCTCTCTCTTTCTCTCTCTCTCACACACACACACACACACAAACACACTTAGAGTGTTAAACGTTTTTCCCCTTTATTCCTCCTGGGGAGAAGCAAGACAACTGTGTCAATCATCTTCTTATTCAGGGATCGACAGGATTTTAAATTTTTGTAATGTTTAATAGTGATCCAGGACAACAGTCACTTTTATTTCTCAGCAGCATCGTGGCCCAGCAGGTGAGCCAGGCTGTTCCTCGCCATAGCCAACGGCGAGGGGAGAGCAGGGCAAGGGGCAGTCGCCTTTCTCCCTTTCCCAGGTAGCTGCCACGTTAAAGAAATCAGACTGTCCTGGTGGAACCTGCCTTGCCTCACTGTATTTATCCCTGTCTTGTTTTTGGTGTGTCTCTTTTTACATTTCTACTCCAACTATTATTTTAGGGCTTTTGGCTTGCCCGTCCCAGGTGCGTGGCCTCCAGCCCCTTGTTAAGAAAGGGCAAGGCTGGAAAGCAGTATTCATTCTAGAGGTCAGCAAAATTGGAAGCGCTTCGGCTACTGAAAGTAAGATTTAGCAGCTGTGAGGTCTGCATTACTCTTAATGTGTTGGAAGAAGGTTTGGAGGGGTCTTCTGGGGAGAGGCATCTTTTGACCGGGACAGGTCAGGGCGCTCTGACTTCAGACCGGTGCACTGCCGTGCTTTGGCTGTTGCCAAGCTTTAGGAAGAGGTTTGTGGACTGGCTGAACAGAGGAGTTAGAGGCTGGCTACCAAAGTCGTCCTTCACCCCAGCTCTCCCTTGACACGCACTTGATATTTTATAACAGCAATATGGTTTACCGAGATACTATAATCCCAGCCAAGCAATCATGGGTGGTTGCTTTTAAACTTGTTTCTACAAACTAATTTGATAAGTTTTTTATCGATGAAACGCAAAAAGAAAACCTTACTTTATTTCCTTCTAAGGGTTTGGGAATCTTCATGGTTCCTAGAGCAATCACGACTCTGTCCCCTTGCATGGACTTCAAGTTCTAAGCAGTTCTGACGTTTAGAGCAAGTTTGGCAAACCCAGAGAGACATGCCTGCCTTGTGTATCATAGGTGTTTGCACGTGCTTACGTGTTTCATAAATGGAACAGCATGGGACAGGTAGAGAAGTGCAAATATCTCGACATCTTTTGAAGAAGTCTTCTTTTTAAAAATATGCAATACTTCAAGAGTTTTCTTTGGTTCTGGTGCCGAATTGTTCACGGTGGAGAGGAAAATGAGCGACATGTTGCGCAGATTGGGTTTGGAAGAGGACGTTTGTTTGAAGGGATTCTCTGGAGGATGTCTAATGTGTATAATAAGGAAGGATGAGGTTCTGATCCTTAAGATGATGGGAGGAACAATGAGACATTGAAAAAGTAACATTCCATCCTGCTTTCACAAAGGAAGCCAGGCAAGCGGTTACGGCGTGGGCTTGGCAGGCGGCAGGCTTCCCAAGTGAAACTGCAGCTTGTCCTGTCGTCCTGCTGTCTGACTGCACCCTGGTGGGCACGGGGAACACCCCTGGCCCTGCTCTCCCCAGTCCAGACTGGGACTCGTGATCATTTTCCTACCTCCTTAAAGGCAAGAATTTGGAGAAGAGGGAAGTACTCTTACCTTGCTTCTGCTTTGTGCAGGTGAGGGGTCTCACTGTTCCTCCCACGTCTCTCAGAAGGCAGACGTGGCTCTAATGAATGTTTTTTTGTGTGCGGGGGAGGGAAGGGCTTGGTGTTCATCAGCAGTACTAGGGATGTGCTCCTCAGAGGAACCTCGGCCAGTGTTCCGAGCAGGGAGCCTGCGGAGTACAAGTTCACTGAGCATTTTGGACAGGAAAACTGATATCTCGCCTCCATTTTCCTTCCTCTTCTTCTTTCTCTCTTGTCAAGTGCATCATCACGTGGGGAATGACTCTCTGAGCAGCCACCCCATTCAGTTTCCTATCAGAGGTCAAGCAGTACGGTCGCTGGAGAGCAGTGACAACAGATGAGAGCTCAGAGGTGGCTGAGGCAGGCTGTGTTGCAATTGAGGTGTGGGGGGAGTGGAGATATGCAGAGTATGCTGCTTTAGTCATAGCTTTTGAAGTTACCAAAAATCATTAAGAGAAAGAGTTACAAACTTTGAAATGCTATCCTGTTCACACTAGAGAGCGTCAGAAGTTACTTTAGTTGCTTAAAAGATTTTTAAGTGTTTTAAAATAGATCTTTTAAAAGAATACTACCAAACTATAAAAACATAAAATTATTTATATACATATATTATATATAAATATAGTGGGAAAGTTTCCCTGCTAAGCTTGCTGTGAAGAGAGGGGTGAAGGTGCAGTAACTGCTATACGAGCAGCATTGGTCTGAAACAGATGGCAACCGATCCATCAGTGCGTAGCGATGGAGATGAGATGGTGAATGCCTTACTTGTATGGCATAGCTGCGAGTTTCTCAAGCAGATTTTTGGGCTTTTTTTTTACTGTATTGATACTGTGAATGGAGGAGCATCCACAGCCCAGGTTGGAATCCTGTTGGGCTGATTCGCTACTTCTGATTGGCCTGGTGAAAATCATTACCTTGTTCCTTCATATTGTTCTAGGCTAGTCTGAAAACAAAGCTTGTGAAAGGTCTTTATTTTTTCCTCTGGGTTTTTTTGTTTTGTTTTGTTTTGTTTTAGTGCAGAGGTTGCCACTGTATAAATGATCATTTCTGATTGCATGCAAAAGAGCCAATATTCTTGCCCAGGCCTCACCGAGGTGAAGTTTATAGCTTGTAGCTAGAGTCAGTATAAGGTAAGGTAGTGGGAATCATTTTAATATTATTTCTGTACATTTAATGGATGTGTATATGTATGTATGTGTGGAAATCACGGTGCCTCTGACATTTTCTCGAGCAGTGCTGAAAGCAGTCGAAGCCCATCTGCACCAGGAGAGGGAATCGGTTCGGAGGGAATTGTTCACCTAACTTTTCTTTCGGCGATTGATTGCTCGGTGCAGACAGGGCTGCGATTGGAGAGTAAAGGGTTGGAGGTCGCGTGCAGTGTGGCCAAACCTGGGCTGAGCTTCCCGGCTTGGCAGAGCTGCTCGGTGTGGTGATGGCGTCCTTGGTTGTGCCGAGCTCTTTGCGGTCGCGCCGAAGCTGTGGAGGAACAGACGCCGGCTTTCCAAGTACGAATGCTTCTGTGACGGGTTGAGGCACAGCTTTGCGTTTCCACGTCTGGCTGCGGCTTTTTCCCCTTTGCCAAAACTGTGATTTCAACTGTGATTCAAGGAGGTTGTGAAGCGAAGTGTTGTCGTGATACCTCTGTAACTTAACATTTCTGCCAACTTCAGCTGGGGCTCACTGACCCGTTTGTTTGCTTGCCTCAGGCGGCAGTGGGGACGTCCTCTATTTGTGCAGGCTTCAGCGTCAGAGGGAGAACACATTTCTTAACTCTTTTAGTTTCTTACCTCTTTTAGTTTCTTTTAGTTTCTTTGCTGTGGCAAAGAAACCTTCCTCATGCCAAGTGTAACGCTTCTCCCTAAGCAGCCTGCAGAAAGCCCTGAGTGACAGCAGAGCAAAGCGCTCGGACGGTCCCCGCTGCCGCCAGCTGCCCTGTGAATAGCTGTGAAAATAATGAGAATTATGTTAGTACTGTGCTGCTGCTTTGAGAAAAGCCGAGCCTTCCTCTGGGGAGGAATGGCTGGGAGAGAGACGAGCAAAATGTCTTGCTGTTCTCCTGCAACAGGAGCTCGGGACAGCAAGCAGGGCTGCTTCGTTCCAGCAGCTGGCGAGGGATGAGCAAAGAGGGCTCGTGAAATGGGAATTCATCACAGCAGGGTGACAGCACGCTTAGAGACACAGAATGAGAGCCAGTGCTGGGGCAGGTCGGCGGGGCAGGCCCCAGCGCTTGTCCTGCACTGAGCTGCACCAGTGCTGTGGTTACCATGTCAGGAACATTTTGAGGATGGGAGAAATCCAGGGGCTTTGGTTCAGGAAATGTCTCGTGTTTTATTTGGGCTTGGGCTCCGAGTTCCCCCAGGAGCTGAGCCATAACCACAGCCAGAAATCTGGGGTCTTCCGTGGAGCTGTTACTGCTCTGAAATAATCTGAGGAGTCTGCCATCTCTTGCCAGCCGCCTCGGGTTTGTCGATGAAAAGCTCTCTTGTGTGAAATATAGGGAAAATCAGAGGGTATAGGAGTGCCTGAACTGCGGGGGTTGGGGTGCTAGTTGGAGGAGAGGTGCCGGGAGAGGAAGGCCTGGCGGCATCTTATTTCTGAGCATAGGATTGATTGGGTTGGTTTCATTGTGCAAATTGTGAATGCTGCCATTGCGAGGATGGTGGCTGTGATGGAAGCAGGGCTGGGCTGCGTGCTGGTCCCACACAGGTACTGGAGGTCTTCCTGCTGATCTGAAGGTACCAGAGCTCTGTCTGCTGGGGAGCTGCCATGCGGTTCCTGCCATTTCTTTGTGTCAGATCCGACCATGGCTTTTTTTTAGGTTGAACTAAAAGATATCCGACTGTAATCTTCACTGACCTGTTTGACTTTTTATTCCTAGGGACTGTAGAAAATTCAGGTTTCATCTAACATTATCCTCATCCCAACTGTGAACACGTTACTACTGCTTCTTATAATTTATTACCTTTCCGTTCCTGAACGTCTGTGCGATCCGGCTGTTTACCAGTGCCACCTTCCAGTGCTCCATTAGTTTTCATGCACAGGGAATTGTTGCAATGGATAAGCTGACCATGCTAGTTGGAAGAGTAGAAGCTTTTGCAGAGTGATTTTTGCTTCCTCTAGCTGTCATTAGGGAATGCACACACACATACTGTATATACATATATATGTATACATATATAAAGTGTTTCAATATAAGCTCATTTAGCATTATTCTTATTTAATTTATATTTTAATCCAGTTGTAAACCAAAGTATTACAGCTTATGAAATGATGTGTCTTGGAAACAGGAGGAACCATTTGAGGTGGGAGTTCCAAAAGATCTGTATTGACAAAAATACGGATACAAGTAAGGTGTAAGAGTTTGCTCTGGTGAACCTTAGGGATTTGGAACCTTGGGCAGGTTTAAGATTTTCTGGATAAGGTTTGACTGAGGGGAGGCAGTGTGAGTTACTGTTTTAAAGCTCTGTTTTTTTTCTCACCCAGTCTGACTTGGTGTTGGAGGAGCTGCTTCAGGAACAGTGCAGCTGGCACTTCAGCTACCTTTGCTGGACGAAGCAGGACTTCCCTGCAGGGGAACTGAGGCCTGGATTTGCTGCCCTCCCTTCTTGTCGCAGGACTGGAGGAGTTTTTGTTGGGACAGGCTGTGTCTGTGCTGGCTGTGGCTCTGCCTCCATCTCCCCCAGCCTGCTGTTCCTGGCTGCGGTGGGTCAGGGCTGGGAGGTTTGCACTGAGGTGGAGGAGAGCTGCAGCCAGGCGCAGTGCTGCAGGGCTCTGGCTCACGTGTGCTGTCACAGCAATTACAGCCATCCCTGATGGTCTTCAGGGCCTTCTGAAGGCCTCTGAACAGCCCTGAGGTACAGAGAAATGGTTTTGTTAAACAGAATCGAGGCTTAAAACTTGCCATGTTCTTCATGGCACTTAGCTGTTTTGTGGAAAACAAGTGTATTCTGGCAAGCCCAGAAATAAAAAGAGGGAAGGCAGCAAATCAGAATGTAGTCTGGCACAACCAGGAGCAAGAGAAGGGCCACACAGAGCTGCCAGTGTGTTTAGTGGCCAATGAGGTGCCGTAGCAAACAGGCGCTTGCTGCTGACTGATGTTGAGAGGCGTGTTTGTTTTTCAGTAATCTCTATGGAGGGGCACATTTTGCTGTCACCAATGGAAGTAAGGTCAGAGATAAAATCTTGCTAATCGTTCTGCATGGGAGAGTAATTGCCTATCCAAGGAAGGCACAAATTCTGCAGCCGGCTCTACCGCAATGTCTCTTGCAGGCTTGGCAGCGGCCGTGCCTCCTCTCAGAGCCTCTTTTTGTAGCAGGCTGCCCTGCGTCCTTGCACCGAGCAGCAATGAGCCGCCCACCCGCTGCTGCTGATCAAATAGGTTCCCTTCATACTCTCCTGCAGGATTAGTGCGTGCTCACAGCTCGGGGTGTACACACAGTACCATTTTTAGCTCCTGAGTTCAGATCTGGCAAATATAAAAAGCCTGTAAGCTAATCTATGTCTGATTGCAGGTGCTGGGCACTGGGGCTGAGCCCAGGAGCCCTGCTGTGCCGCATTCCTTCTATGTGAAGGACAGGGAGCAGAGAAGACAGAGCCGGGCACATCTCCGAGGTGCACGGTGCAAGGAGCAGCAGCAGGCAGGAGCTAATGCATGGGATGTGCAGGTTAGGTGTAACGGAGAAGCTTCTTCACCCTGAGCACAGCCAAACACTGAATAGGTTATCCACAGAGGCTGGGGGACCTCCCCCCTGCCTGAAGGTAGCCCCGAGCCAGCTGCCTGAAGGTGGCCCTGCCCTGAGGTGGGAGCTGGGGGTCCCTGTCCCTGTGCTGTGCTACATGAAGCGAGGGGCAGAGGCTCCAACCCTGCCCATGCATTACCATTGTATTTTCATTTGCCAGTGATAGACCTGTGACACAGCATCTTGTCTGCAGTGGTCTGTGCAGAGGCTCGGTGCTTGCCGTGCCTGAGTGCAGCAGCTTGTGTTCCTTGGACTAAGCCAAGCTATATTTCTGTTAGACTTGTATTTTATTTTGAAGAATTACCATGTAACAATGGGCAGCTATAACAGGCTGCCTAGTTCGTATCAGTTAAGCTTTTGAAACATATTCAGGTATCATTTAAGTACTGCTGTGTAACTCCTCGTTTAACCTGACATACTCTGAGTTAATCGTGTTTCTGCAGTTGTCTACGTCAGTACTTTAAAGCAAATCAGTGTATTTTTTTTTTTTGCAGACTGTCAGTTATGTTAAGCTTCCAACTTTACGTAGATTTTGTACTTAACCCCCCTCAGTTTTACAGTTAAATGTCTTCATTATTTTTATTATTAATTGAGTGAAGCTTATTTATTTGAACCTTCCTGTTACATTTGCAGTCAGACCCAGTACCATTGGCCACGGCCCACGAAACTGTGAAACTAATTGTAAAGTAAGAATGAAGCTAGATTGGTGAATTACTTGTGATTATAAAATGCAGTGAGTAGCAGCATCAGAATAGGATTAAAGCTGCTGAGGCTGGGGGAGGAATCATGAAACTATAGCTGGGAAACCTCTGTGGGAACATCACCTGAAGATGTTTCTGCACCAGTTCCCCACTTGGCAAAGTTCAGGAGCTGTCCTGAGACAGAGAGTTTTGTCTGGGGCCTGCGTGCTAGTCGGTGTGTTGCAGGCATTGGTTTGGTATGGGTGCTCTGTGATGCCATTTCCTTAGTGCTAACGCATCTGAGGCAACTCTGGATTACTGTGAAGCTTTTATTTAACGCTCCATTGCGTGGGAGTTGGTATCTGAACAATCGTTGGTTTGACAGAGGTGAGGGCTGAGGCAGCAACTGTGTGACACTAACAAAACGGGATGGTGCAATTCTCTGAAGGACAGCTCTGGTTTTGGCCCAGAGTGTGCTTGGGGAGCAGTGGAGCTGCTGGCCGTTCGGCCCCTGGCATAAGGCAAACACCTCTTGGCTCCCCGAATTTTGAGCCTGGGGAAGAAGCTCTGTTGGCAGAGAGCAAGTGCCAGAGAGATATTTGAAAGTGCAAGGGAACGCTGTCATTAAATAACACACGCTTCTTGTGTACGTAGAACTGCTGCTGGTTAGGATGAACTGAGGAGCAAGAGGGATCCTCTGTGGTGGAAACTGAGGATGAGAACCACGCACAGCTCCCTGCTCCTGCGGTCACTTCTCCACCGCCTGTAACACAAGGTGAAGCCCTGTTGTAGCCCAAGGTGCTCTCTGCCCCCAACTTCCCCCAGCATCACCCTCCTCTTTCCTGTACAACACTGTGAATGACACCAGTCACTCTTTTAATGCTCCCATCCAGCTTGCTGGGAGCACGAAGTGCTGCCCTACATGGTGATGCTGGGGGAGATAGGACTGAGGGCTCTGTCTGCACACAGGGACAGCTGCGGCCCAGTGCTCCATGCAGAGGCGTTGGCACACAGTTAACGACGTAAGCAGCTTTGTGTAGCAATTTGCTAATCACGCCTGATTTCCTAATGAACTAAACTGACAATCAATTTCTAAAATATAAGAGCTTCTTGGAGGTAATAGTCGAGGATGTCTTCACCAGGAGGATTTAACTGGGATAACTTTATAAAGAGCACAGGAGCTTTTCCGTTCTGTATCTAAGCAATCACTCCAGAAAGTGTGTTGCATTAAGCAGCAGAGTCCCAGGACAGTAACTACCTCTCTCTCTCTTAGAGTGCTGAGGTTGCCACGCTACGTGCTGTCAGCAAAGCATTCACTTTGGATTTGTTTTCCTTACCTCCGTGTGGCAGCAGCACAGGGGAGCTCTAGAGCAGGGAAATGGCACTGGGGAGCACCCTGCAGTGCCAGCAGCTCTCTGTGAGCCCCGTGGGTCTGTATGTCACAGCGAGGCTCCCAGGGTTACGTGCTCTGCACTGGGAGGGATGGAGGGCGTGAGGGTGAGGAGGACCCACCTCCCTCCCACCCCAAGGGAGCAGGCAGCAGCAAAAAGCAATAAATTCAATAACAATAACAACTTTTATAAGTCGGTCATTACTCAGCAGATGTGACTCCCTGGTTTTATGTCTTGTACAAATATACAGGGAGCAGATCTGACCTGTGAAAAGGTGCCATTTTTTTTTTTTCAATTTTTTATTTTTAATTAAACAGAGTCCCTTTCCAAACTAGAACAGCACTTTAAAATAGGTTCCTCTTTAAGAAAACAAAAAAAAAAAAAAAAAAAAAAAAGGAAAAAAAAAAGGAAAAAAAAAAGAAAAAACAAAAAAAGAAAAACCCTTTACTGAAGAAATGCACTTTAACTGGTAGGTGAGCATGGCTGCTGTTGAGGCGGCCGTCCTGGCGGAGGCTCGCTGTCAGCCAGAGCCCAGGGAGCAGCACTGCCCAACGCACGGTGCCCACGTGCCCGCGCACTACTGCAGCTCTACCTCCCACTGCGTGCCCCTGGGCCTGTGCTGCTGCAGGAGTCCCACCCGAAGGCAACAGCAGGATGGGGCCTGTTGCAATCCGGGTTGTAAATCGGTCACAAAAACAAAACCCGGCACCACCTTTGCCTGTAGGGAGAATTTAACCCATTTACAGTAGGTCAGACGGTGCCCCCAGGTCCAGCGCAGCACAGGGCTGAGCTAAGGTGAGGCTGTTCCTGGGGGTGTGAGGTTTTTCATATTGTGGATATGGAGCCCTCAGCAGTTGAGTATTTAAAAATAATAATAGTCCAAGTTCACGTGTCCCCTGTTGATTCCGCTCAGAGCTGGGTTGCAGAGTAAGCATTTGTAAGAGAAATTGTGCTGTCACCATCGACTCTTGGCTTATAACTTGAACGCGTAGGACACGCGTCCTCACCCTCAAGACTTATTCTCACACTTAAGAAAATTTCCTGCTGTACTAATTATTGTTTATTTTTAATTTTATTCTTGGTTGCAATGGAAAAAAAAGATAAAAAAGAAGTCTGTACTCACACTCGGTCTGCAGTAGGTTGCAGCATGGTCCTGCTGTTGTCAGCGATCCCACCAGCCGTCCCTGTGCTGCTCCGTGCCCCATGGGATGGGCAGGGGCTGCAGTGTGAGCAGCAGAGCTGTGGCAGGGGCACAAGGCCGAGGCGGAGGGGTTGTGCAGTTGTACAATTGCATTTCAGCAGCTCAGCAAATAAGTGCTCTCGTCAGACAGCTTTAAGAACAATGTGAATGAAAAAATCTAGCGATTTGGGTAGGAATCTTTGAAAATTCTAGCAATGTATACTTGAACTTCTGTTTGTATCAAAAACAAATTGCATTTTTTTTCTTTCTTTTAACACGGTGTAAAAGAACATTATGCATGTGAGTGGTTTGAGAATTAAATGGTTTAATACTCAGCTCTGTGCCTGTCTCTTGTAGCTGACTGCTCCTGCCTAGCGGGGTTTCCTCGCAGCCAGGCCGGGCACCTGCACACCGTGGGTGGCTGTGATGGGGGTGAGCCTGCCCAGCTTTCCCAGCTGCTTCCTTTCTCATCATCTTCAACATCCACAGTCCGGAACATTACTAGAAAGCTCACACAGATGCCCTACCAAATCCAGAGCAAATGGCAGCCCAGGGACCGCCCCCCACTCTGGTGTCAGCAGCAGTCTGCGCTCAGCTCTTCTGGAACTTGCACCAACAGCAGGACAAGACCGTGTTTTTTCACCGCCTTTGTTATTTTGAACTCCGGCCGTAAATGCAGATTTCTCAGAGGACGGAGCTCGTTTAAAGCTCATTACTCAGACAAACAGCCTGAGCAGCCACGGCGAGGCTTTCACTAGTTCAGCACTTGGGCACGGCAGGGCTGCTGGAAGCAGAGCCCTGGTGCTTGGCAGCTCCTCCACCCACCAGCTGTACGCTGCAAAGCTGCAGAAGATGGCCCTGGCCCAGCATTGGTTGCTTGGCTGCTGCTGCTGCGACTGAGGAGTGTGGGAAAGGGCATGTTCATTGAGAAAGGGAAGGTTAAGCCTAGGAAGTGACTTAGTGAAAAGCGTCCGTTCAGAGATGAGTTTATTCCATACAGATCTATAGGCCTTAACGTACTGGAGGATCAGTTACAGTTTGATGCCTGAGAGGGAGGAGGGGTCGGATGCAAGAATGCCAGTGATACTGGAATGGCTGCCATGAAAATACCAGTGCCATTATTTAAGAAAAAAAATAAATCAGCTTCCTTTGAACGAGGGTTGGAGCGGGAGAAGGACGGCCCCTCCCTGCAGCTGGCACCAAACAGTAATACAGCCACCCCAGCACAGCCTGGGTTGCATGGCAGTGCCCTACCATCCCTTTCCCAGGGGCAGGGAGGGGAATGGTGAGGCTCGGACAGCCTTTAGGAGCAAGGATCAGATATTCTGCCCATGAATATAATGGTGTTGAGGGCGGCTTCCCGGATGAAGAGCAAGAAGGGCCTGTTGGCCTCAAAGATAATTCTGTTCATGGGGAAGGAACGGCCAGAGATAAGAACAGATGTCGCTGCTGACGCCTCACTGCCTTCTTCATTCACCTACCAACCAGAAGAGGAGGAGGAATTAAGACACAGGCATTATGCAGCATTTAGAGGGCTCTACATCCCTCCCCACCAATTTGAAGCACGAGGATGCACTGTGCTTCAGTGTCTCCTTGTGGAGACAATCTGTGTTAGAGCCACAGTCTGTTACATTTTTCCTGTTATGCTTCATGCTTTTAAAAAACAAAAAGCAAAACACATCCTGGGACAAAATGAAGCTTACCTCAATGAAGGCTTTGTGGAAAGCCTCAGATACATACAGGTCTGTACGGCCCTCTGCAACTATACCTGAAACCCAGAATAACAAAACAAGGAAATCAAAACCATGTTTGGAGACAGGAGCTCGAGATGCAAAACAGTCCCTCCCTTCATGGACAGCACTGAAACCCAGCAGGCACATCTGCCCTAAAACGAGGATATCCTCCACCAACTGCATGCAGTGGATTGCTCAACTCCTGTGCCCTCAGAGCTAAGCAGGGCTGTGTGCCCAGAGCGAGGGCTGAGTGCCGAGTCCCTCAGTGGTGCAGCATCACTTAAACGTGCTCAGTGTTCTTTTCCTCGCAGGCAGGTTGCCCCCACCCTCACACCTCACCTGGCAGCTTGGCGTTTTCTGGACTGAAGAGATCTTCCAGCCCCATTTTTCTCAGTTTCTCCTTGACGCTGAAGCTGTCCTCGATGCGGAAGCGTGGCAGGGACACAGTAAGGGAGACCTCCCTCATAGAGTTGATCCAGTCCTGCAGCTTGTCCGACGTCAGGTCTCGCTCCACCTCCACCAGCGGCGTGCCAGCTTTGGGCAAAACCAGCACCATGGTGATGTCGTCCCCTTTGTAAGGCAGCTCCAGCACCTGGACTTTGTCCTCCTGGATGAACGCATGGCGGAACCTGGACTCCTGGTACATGATGGGGACTTTGCAGGTCTCACCGTTGGCTTTGTGAAATAAATCCAGTCTCGTGTTTGGAGCTGGGAACTGTGACTTCCAGTGCCCCTGACAGGGAGATGATGAGGACAAAAGCAAACATGAGCAACGTCGCTGCCCCTTGGAAATTGGCTGCTCTCCAGCTTTGTTAGCCGTACCTTAAAATAAATGGTGTTGACCAGGACCAAGACAGTGAGCTCATCGATACCTTTTTCTGGGATCACTTCTGTAATGCGTCTCTCTGTCTTATTGGCTACCCACTCGTTTATGATCTGCCTGGAAAGCTCTGGCTTCTCCTGAAAGATGAGACCAAAATAGCTTAAGTGGAAGGTTATAAACACCTCCCAAGGGAGGACACTGTGCAGCACAGCACCGTTTAGAAAGGAGAAGCTGGGAAGTGACTGTGGTTACAGAGCTGGGACAGGAGAAGCTGCTGTCTGTCTTCACCAGTGTTCCCTGTGCTGAGCGTGGCACTCCCTGCAGCAGGGGATGGGGATGCAGCAAAAGCAGGACAGGGAGGAAAAAAAACAAACAAACCAAGAATCTCAAGCAGTTCAAACTCACTTTGAAGTTCAACGGCCAGAGTTTGGCTCCGTAAACTATTTCACTAATGTTTTGGTAAGTCTCATTGAAGACCAAGGATTTCTCTCCAAAGAGACGGTTTGCTGATACTAGCTCTGATGACTTGTTGGCTTTCTTGTAAAGACGGCAGTTGAGCTTGGCAAAGAAGAAGTGGACCTGGTCAGACGTCTTCTCTGAAATAGTGTCAAACTGGAAGACCTGGAGGGGCCACAGAGGAAAAAGGAATCCATCAGCAGGCTCCTGTGCTCCAACAGCAAGTGGTGATGTAGCTCTTGCCCTCTGCTCATCCCCTAAGGCACAGCCTTAGAATAACAGAACCACAGAATATCCTGAGTTGGAAGGGACTCAAAAGGACCACTGGGACCAACTCCTGGCTCCACACAAGGACCACCCAAAACTCAGACCCTGCGTCCAACAGCATCATCCAGACACTTCTTGAACTCTGGCAGCTTAGCGCTGTGCCCACTGCCTTGGGGAGGCTGTTCCAGTGCCAACCACCCACTGGCACAGAACCTACTCCTGATATCCAAACTGACCCTTTCCTGAATCGACAGCAGCCTGGCCTTTCCCCATGAGAGCCCTGCACCAGGTGGGCATGGCACTGATGGGGCCAGATGCAGCTCTTGGGTCAGTGCAGGCCATGGGAAGACTTGCAGGGTTTGCTCTAATCCTGTGAGAATGCCAAAGGCTGCTCCTTCCCAGGAGTAATTCTCATGGTCTGTTGAGTAATTCTGCTACTCGTTATCTATTTTCAAGTATGTGGCAATTGTTTTGAGGGTAGATTGCAGCAGCACAGTGATTTTTTTCTATTCTGTTCCTAGCTGTCAGCTGGAAAGACAGCTCCAATTTGTCAGCTCCTATCCATCTCAGGGCTTCAGGCACAGAAAATCCCATAGCACATTGCTTATTATCTGTGGCATCACTTCCTATGAGAGGCAGAAGTGGGTGTTACCAGCCCTTCTCTAGGGAAAAGGAGAGTGTTGGGAGCACGGCCCAGGGAGAGAAGGGTTCCTGTCCCACAGCAGGGGCTGCCCACAGAGGAAGGCACACCTCAAGGTTTTGGTGGCTCCTTGCAGAGCTGGAACCCAAATGAGCTGAGACCCAAGCAGCCTCCTGTGTCCCACCTGACAGCTGCTTAAATAAAAGCATCCCCTCCCATGCCAGCTGCCCTGGCCAGGCAGCCCCCAGCAGCCGCTGGCACCACCGGCTCCACAGCCTTCCAGGCCCCAGTAGCAGCAACAGGGAAGGCTGAGGAAACGCCACCGACCTCCATGAGCTGCTGCAGGGTGTCACCACACGCCCCGAGCTTGGTCATGGCGAAGGCTGTGGAAATGCTGAGGGGAGACAGGAAGATGTTCTCCTCGTTGTCCTTGGAGTCGGCCAGGTGCTTGTAGAACACGACGGCGAAGCGCGAGTTGGCTCTGGACAGCTCCCAGACACGGGGGTTGGTGAACTCTGGGATCCTGCCCTTCTTCCCCGGCTCCAGCACCTCGCTTTCCTGGGGCTTCTTCTCAGGGTTGCGGTAGATGCAGATGGGGTTCACTGGGATGTCGCGGGGCTTCGCAGTGCAAATGTCTTCCACGGCATAGCGTACAGGGGCAGCCATGCCCCAGAGGCCGAAGAGACACACCATGAAGAGATGCATCATCCTGGAAGCAGAGAGTTTGCTGAGTGTGTGCCCGCCTGCCCAGGGAGCTCCCAGTGCCCCCAGCCCAGCCAGCATCGGGACCCTCATGGTCCTCCTCCCATTGCCCTCCTGTAGTGCAGCTATGGGATGTACCGGGACAGCCCCAACAGGGCAGCACACCTCTGAGCACACCCTGCTTTTAGAATAGCACAATGGAAATAGTGCTTTCCTAGAGCCACAGGTGCCCTTTTTTAAGCAGACCTAACAAGCTGGTGCAAAAACAGACCAAAGCTCTGATCATTCTATGGGGAAGGCGTCAAAGTCCGCTCTGAACTGCATTCACATCTTTGCTTTGTACAGACCCTGCCCTGCTCCCTCCTGGGGAAGAGCTCCGTGCCCCAAGCTCAGCAGAGGAGCGCCCTCAGACACAGCGCTTTGGATGGTTTCCTTCCCTTTTTGCTGGGGAGACCTCCTTCTCCAGCTCTGTTTCCTTCCTTCCCTCAAATCCTTCTGCCCTTTCAATTTTGTTGGTGGTGCAGAGTCCGGTTGGAGGCCTATAACTAGCGGTGTTCCTCAGGGGTCTGTGCTGGGTCCGGTCTTGTTCAACATCTTCATCGATGACCTTGATGAGGGGATAATGGCCACCCTCAGCAAGTTTGCCGATGATACGAAGTTGGGAGGATTGGCTGACACGCCTGAAGGCTGTGTTGCCATTCAGCAAGACCTGGA